TTTTGCCGACAAACGGAGGTTTTCTAAATCAGAAGTCAGGAGTGACAGATTACGATTGAACTGCTCTTTTTTACTGCAAGAATGTAGTTTCACAAAGGCATCTGTTAAGCACGAGCCACCAGCTGTGTCTTTAGGCCGGTTATGTCACTTTGTTTACGCTTTGGGGATTGCTTGACTCCGGGACGTTTCCTCTATCGTTATTCGGCCAATCAATGAAATAGCACGCACAGACTGGTTTCGAGCTTACGCGCGCGCCTCAAGCAGCGAATCGACCAGGAGCGCGAGACGGACAGGAAAAAGTGGGCCTCTAGCAGTGATCGAGTAAGAGCATACGGGGGGAGGTCACGCGCGAGTATCCAAGGCTTGGCAAGCGAAGGCGAGATGAGTCAGCGCAGCAGCGGTGAGCGCGATCTGCCACAATATACGAAGGAATAACTAGAGCCGACAGCTGGCAGGACCGCCCGTCCTGCAGGCTAAAAGGAGACTGACACGTAGGGGCTAGTAAGGCTTCCCTACTTAAAATCCGATCTGAACTTGTGGATTTAAAATTATGTACATTGCTAAAAAAAATCAAAATAACAATGGGTATGATTATACAATTAGGTACTGCTATTCGTAGGCTAGTTTGACTTTACAACCACCATCAAATATGTCGTCTACAAGTCTCATCTGCCGCCCTTTCAACTGAATGCAGATTCAAAATCCCTGTCATTCGTCTCGGCCGCTACCTACGCACGATCTCCACCATTTCGCCGCATGCTCACATGGAGGTCACTTGGCAGTGTTATAAAATCTTTAGAGTTAAGTTTTTTCCGATTTGTTCCCTCCCCTTAATCAAACAACAGTATAAATAAGGGCTGATCTAAGACTGCATTTAGTCAACCACTCTGGCATAGTTTCGTGCACGTACGCCTACTACTTCCTTATATCATTAGGGCTTGTCCATTTGTCGTCGGTCTTCAAGTTAGAGGTAGTCTCTACTCTGCGGCGTTTTAAAACATAAGTATCTACCAGAATGCACATAAACAGTACTACACCGATTAGCCGAACCTGTCGGAGCTGTAGCGACCTCGTATTCTAAGTCATGCTTTGCTCGCACGCCTCTGGGGCTTCTCACGCACGTGCTGGTGGACACGGGAGCCAGACATGCGTGACATGCCCCCGAGGCGTGCGAGCAAAGCATGGCTTAGAATACGACGTCGCTACAGAGCTGGGCTATGCAGTGAAAGAATGCCGGCGAGGCACACGTCTGGGTATTTAGCTATTACCTACTCCTACTACGTCAAGATGCTCGGGAAGTTCCTCTTTGACATCGATCTTCAAGTCTCTGGTATT